AGCTTACATTGACCTTCCCCTTCAGCTTCTACTTAAGATGTTTACCCTAAGAGCAGTGGGATGCCTGGCCTAGAGGCCACCCCAGCTGCCCCCATGGAATGCTCTTTCTTAGGGGGAAGGGTAGCATGGTGGGCTTCCCGCACAGGGGTGGCGTCAGTCTTGTGCATAGCACATAGCTGAGAATTGGGCAAGGGTTGATTTCCAAAAGGAAAATTGGGGTCCTGTTACAAAAAGGTTAGGGGGATCTTTGCAAGGCACCTGGTTAGGAAATGGAATACTGGCCGAGTAATAATAATAGTAACAACTGATGTGTTGTGAATGCTATCAGCTGGGCACCACTGGAAGCATGCCACAAGTGGATTGGTCACATGGAGCAGGTGTTTGGCTGCGTGCAATGAAGTTGATGGAGAGGTAGGAACTTCAGGTGGAGACATGAAATAAACAGGTTCACACCGTCACCCGTGTCTCAGACTTGTCCTTTGATCTTCTTTCATCATTCATGTTCATGGGAGGCTTTCTTCCTATGCTCACATGATGGCTGCTCCTCCTCCAAACATTGTGTCCTGGTTCCCGGCAGAATGGGGGAAGGACAAAGAGAAAAAGGCTCATACTGGCTGAATCTTTTATCAGAAAGACAGCTTTCCTGAAACCTCAGCCAGCCAATTTTGGCTTATATTTCATTGGCTGGAACTTTGTCACATGACCTCCCCTAGCCTAGCAAATCAAATTTTGTTGGCCAAGCACATCGCCACCTAGAAGATGATTGGACATTCATTGATAAGGGAGAAAGGGGGAATGGATGTTGGTTAGACAACTGTCAGTGGCTGCCACGATATGTGTTAACTCATTTATTCCTCTGTCAACCCAGTGTGGTAGGTACTATTATTAGCCAGGTTTTCTAGAAGAGGGAACAGGCACGGGGTGGGTGGGGGGATATAACTTGGCCAAGCTCACACACAGCTGTGAAGTTTGAATCTGAACCCCAGCAAGCTGACTCTAGAACCTGACTCTATGCTCCCAGGCACATCCCGACCCATAGTCAGACCACATTCTTCTCCAGGATGTGTATCCACTTGGGGAATGCAGGCTATTCTAGAGATGGTAGCTAATATGTGTTTAGCTCTTTACAAAGAGATTTCCCTTAAATAGTATTATTTCCATTCTTAAAATGAGGAGATTAAGGCTTAGAATTGTATGGGTTGCCTAGGGTCCCCAGGTTGTAATCACCAGAGCTGTTATCTCTTGAAATCACAAGAACTTCATCTTGACTCCCTGGCTTAATCTTCTATACACAGAGGATTTCATTTAAAAATTTTTTTTAAATGATAATATTTTGCTCTGGAGAAATCTTGGATCTTTCATCAACTTGTTTTCATAGAATTCTTTTCCCATAGCCGTACCTGCAGGAACCTGGCATATCGGCGGGAATTGTGTTCAGTAGTAACAGAGACCTAAAAAGGGCGGTGATTTTTTAGCTCATTGGAATATAAAACTGAGGTCGTCAGTCACTAATTATTATTTACAAATAGCTCTTATTGACTGGTGAAAGTAAGAACCATCAACCAAACAGATGTGTCCTGTCATATGTTGCACCAGGCTAATTTATATTATTTGTCTTTTTCTTTAAAGATTTGTTTTATTTATTTGAAAGTCAGAGTTACAGAAAGAGGGAGAGACAGAGAGAGAGAGAGAGATCTTCCATCCTCTGGTTCACTCACCAGATGGCCAGAATGGCCGGGGGCTGGGCCAGGCTGAAGCCAGGAGCTTCTTCTGGTCTCCCTCGTGGGTACAGGGGCTCAAACACTTGGGGCATCTTCTGCTGCTTTCTCAGGCACATTAGCAGGGAGCTGGATGGAAAGTGGAGCAGCCAAGTCTTGAACTGGTGCCCATATGGGATGCTGGTGTCACAGGCAGAGGTTTAAATCGCTGCGCCACGATGCCAGCTCCTATGTTATTTTTCTTTAAAACTGCTTTGTAAATTGGCCTTTTCACTGAGTAGGAATGATAATCCACCTCACTGGGGTAAATCAGTGAAGGTTACTGATACCTCAATTTGCTTATAATTATTTCTCTCATTCTTTCCAAATGTTTGAAAATTTTTATAATTATTTATTGATTTATTTGAAAGAGCGAGAGAGAGAGAGAGAGAGAGAAAGAAAGAAAGAGAAATCGATCTTCCATCTACTGGTTTGCTCCTTAAATGTCTACATACCCATGACCGCGCCAGGCCAAAGCCAGAAACCAGGAACTCCATCCTGTTTGCCCATGTGGGTGGCAGGGGCCCAAGTACTTGGGCCATCTTCTGCTGCCTTCCCAAGTGCCTTAGCAGGGATCTGGATCAAAAGTGGAGCAGCTGGGAGTCTAACCAGCATTCTCCTAGCCCCGAATATTTGACATCTTTAGCTAATAGCATTGCTTTATTTATATACCCCAATATTCTTTTTTTGGTGACACTACTGAGTAGACCACAAAAATCACAAAAACAGTATAGAATATACTTTGACTTTAAAAATCATGAAATAGTGGATTGAAAAAGAAATAGCCATTAAAAACTAAAACCTGGACCATGTTGTATAATTCCCCATCACCTGGGAGCTTATTGGAAATGCAAAGTCCAGTCCCTACCCAGACTTACTGAGTTAGAACCTCTAGGCCTTGGGCCCAGGAATCCATGTTTTGACAAGATCCCCAGGTGATTTGCAAGCCCATGAAAGTTTGGGAAGCACTGTTTTAGAGTTTTGTAGAGTTTAAGAAAATCACAGATTATGCACTCTTTTAATATTCATCAAAATAAGAATTTCAGTTTTAGTAAACTAAGACCTACATTAAACCCAAGATTCACCTTTGATGGTCCCCAATCATAGACTCCAGATCAGGGGGCTTCACTCAAGTGTATTCTTTTTTTTTAAAGTACTTTTTAAAAAAAAAAAAAGATTTATTTATTTATTTATTTGAAAGTCAGAGTTACACAGAGAGAGGAGAGGCAGAGAGAGAGAGAGAGAGAGAGAGAGAGGTCTTCTGTCCACTGGTTCACTCCCCAGTTGGCCACAATGGCTGGAGCTGCGCCAATCTGAAACCAGGAGCCAGGAGCTTCTCCCAGGTCTCCCACATGGGTACAGGGGCCCAAGGACTTGAGCCATCTTCTACTGCTTTCCCAGGCCATAGCAGAGAGCTGGATGGGAAGAGGAGCAGCCGGGACTAGAACCGGCGCCCATATGGGATGCTGGTGCTTCAGGCCAGGGTGTTAACTCACTGCACCACAGCTCCGGCCCCCAAGTGTATTCTTCACACCATCCCCCTTTCAACATTTTCACCTCATTAATCCCTATTCACCCTTCAGATGTCAGTTCAAAGATGACTTCCTCAATCAAGCCTTTGCCTGGCCTCCTGATTCACTCTCATAGTATGCATACTTGTCCTTTGCAGTCTCACATTTATTTTTTGTGATGATTGGATTCATGTTTACTTCTCCCACTAAACTATAAACTTCAAGAGAAAAAGAGACCGTGTCAGTTTTTTTTTTTTGGGGTGGTTTTTGACAGGCAGAGTGGACAGTGAGAGAGAGACAGAGAGAAAGGTCTTCCTTTGCCGTTGGTTCACCCTCCAATGGCCGCTGCGGCCGGCGCACCGCGCTGATCCGATGGCAGGAGCCAGGTACTTATCCTGGTCTCCCATGGGGTGCAGGGCCCAAGGATTTGGGCCATCCTCCACTGCACTCCCTGGCCACAGCAGAGAGCTGGCCTGGAAGAGGGGCAACCGGGACAGAATCCGGCGCCACGACCGGGACTAGAACCCCGTGTGCCGGCGCCGCTAGGCGGAGGATTAGCCTAGTGAGCCGCGGTGTCGGCCCCGTGTCAGTTTTATTAACTGATACATTCCCAGGGTATGCAACAGTAGCTAGCACATAGTAGAGATTCAACACATATTTGTTTCATGAATATATGAAGAAAACCAAGACAAGAACAAGTACTTTAAAAGAAAATGCTCTAAAATTTTCCAAAGGCTTCCCCATAAGCTCTTTTTTTTTTTTTAAATTATTTATTTATTTGAAAGAGTTACACAGAGAGAGAGAGAGAGAGAGATTTTTTTCATCCGATGGTTCACTCCCCAATTGGCCACAATGGCTGGAGCTGTGTTGATAAGGAGCCAGGAGCTTCTTCCAGGTCTCTCATGTGGGTGCAGGGGCCCAAGGACTTTGGCCATCTTCTACTGCTTTCCCAGGCCACAGCAGAGAGTTGGACTGGAAGAGGAACAGCCAGGACTAGAACCAGCACCTATATGGGATGCTGGTGCTTCAGGCCAGGGTATTAACCCGCTGCACCACAGCACCAGCCGCACCATAGACTCTTAGTCATATGAGATAGTAGCAAGAGTTTTGAAAAGAAAGCTCTGGATCTTCCCTAGGCCTTGTTTTAGCAAGTATTTTGATGTTGCCCCAGAAAATAACCATGATTGTGAACACAAAAATGGTTGACAGGAGGGCAATGGCTGCAAAAAGAAAGCTTGAAGAACCTGGTGTCTGCCTTTTTTTTTCTTTTTTTTTTTTTTGACAGGCAGAGTGGACAGTGAGAGAGACAGAGAGAAAGGTCTTCCTTTTGCCGTTAGTTCACCCTCCAATGGCCGCCGTGCCGCGCTGATCCGATGGCAGGAGCCAGGTGCTTCTCCTGGTCTCCCATGGTGTGCAGGGCCCAAGCACTTGGGCCATACTCCACTGCACTCCCTGGCCACAGCAGAGAGCTGGACTGGAAGAGGGGCAACCGGGACAGAATCCGGCGCCCCGACCGGGACTAGAACCCCGTGTGCTGGTGCCGCAAGGCGGAGGATTAGCCTAGTGAGCCGCGGCGCCGGCCAGTCTGCCTTTCAATAAGCAAGAAGTGGTTTCCTTATCCAGATTGTGTTATTCACATCCCATTGGCAGGTCCTGTCATGTTGGCATCCTACATTGTGGGGTTGCCAAGGCAACATATTAAAGAGCCATTCTAGAATCTATCTGTGGAAGATCAGATGAGGCTCAGGAATCCTCTTTAAGTAAGACCTGTAAGTGTGAGGATGGACTGTGTCCTCAGCCAGCAGATCAGGCTGAGAGTGTCAGCAGCCAACAAAGTCAAGATCTAGGAGTCTGTTGTCCCTGAGCCTGTGTGGAACTGATAAAATCTGGAAGAAAGGGTAAGAGCCCTTAATGGACCAGATAAATTGAGTTGAGCTCAGGGTAGGCTTGGAAGCACATGAAGTTAACCTACTTCCTGTTTGGTTAGTTGTTTGGCTCACTCTTGTGGACTTTTGTGTTTTGTATGTGAACTTTATCATGCTTTCATATATCATATTTATAGGGTAGAATCGGGTCACCTTGATGTAAGGGAAAGAGTACTGGCCACCAAGTGATGAGGCTGTGACTTTGGAGAGGCCACCTAACTTCTCTAAGCCTGGTTTTTTCTCCCATAAAATGGAGATCTCTGGGGGCCTTTCTGAACACGTCCAGAGGAGCAGTGTATGATATCACCTCACAGGCTCCACCTGTTACAGAGCTCTGGGCCGAGAACCTCATGTTGGTCTTAACAACATGACTCCATTGTGCCTAGATCAGTTTTGCCCAGCTCCCAAGTGCTTTGACATGAAAGGGAGATGCATAAATATCTATTCTTTGTTTTACTTTTGTCTTGGAGTGGCAGTTATAGTTCCTGCAGAAGGAAAACAAGACATAAGGAATTACCACTGCTCTGCCATTGACTCGTGCTAGATGTCAAACTGAGATACATGCAAAATGCAAGCACATATACATGATAAAGGAACAGATTGTGGCAATACTTAAAAATATCACAGCTCTCTAAATCAGAAACTGTTTTGGAATTCATGCTAAATCCCCATAACTGAAGATCTGAATTGCGCATTGCCAAGGTGAATTACTTCTGTGCAGTAATTATAGGAATAGGTGTATGTGAATTATAAGGCAACAGGAGTCTCTCTTGGCTTACGGACACCTCTCTCTCCTCTGCCTCTTCCTTTCCAGATTGCTTCCTTTTTAGCCTGCTTGCTTGCTCCTTCCTCTTCTCATTCTCTTTAATGTCTCTGTTCCCGGGTGTTCTGCTTTCGCCCCTGTAACCTTCGTACTCCACAAGCTCTCCCTGGCTGTTTTATCTTCTTTAATCACTGCGGCTATTTTTGGTAACCCGATGACCTCTTTAATCGGACTCTCCAGATCTGATTTTTTGCGGGCTCTAAACCCAGGCTTCTATGCCTATGGCACATTTCTGCAGTATATTCTTACAGGCACTTCAATTTAGCACACCTCTAACTGAATGCCATCATAAACATGCCTGCCCCCTTCATATCTGGCTCTCAGACACTTTAATACCCTTCTGCAAATAATGCTATCACCTCCTAGACTGAAGTTACCTTCTAGTAATTTCCACATCTATCCCATATACCATTGTCCTCTCAGCACCTTGCATAGTGCCTGGCACATGGGACACCCAGTCAGTATAGTTGACTTAGTGGGGAGTCCACCTACTACTCTCCCTAGCTAGAAACCTTGGCATCCTCTTTGAGGCCTCTCTCTACCTCCCTCACTCCCTAGACCCAGTCTAAGACTTGTGGGGCTGATTGTGTCCTTATGTTTGGTTCCTTGCTCCTGTCCATGGCCACTGGTAGGCTGGCTTTCATTTAGCACTTGCATCTGTCTCCTGGGCTATTGCAGGGATGTTCTCATTGGTCTTCCTGTGGCCAGTTTTCCCCCAGGTCATTACCACCTGACCCCCACAGTGGTCTTTATACAACTTGAATCTGATCAGATTACCCTCAGGCTCCCCCTGACTTACAGAGTTTGCAATGCGGCAGCCTCAAAGTGAATCCATGCAGTCCTTACAGTGTTTTGAGAAAATGAGAATTGTTGTATTTTGTTGATTCTAACATGCACATTTTTTCACATTTTAGCATCTCTGATATTAGGATGTGTTTTACAGTTGAGTGTCATGATTTGATTGATGGTGCTTTTCTTTCTTATGGGTACACAGAATAATGTTGCACCCTGTCATTGATGGTGTCTTAAATTTGCTAAAATATGCTAGCATTTAAAAATAGAGAGATTATATATAAAACTATGTTCAACTACTCTTGAAAAATTACTTTGGGCAACACTGAGCCAGGATTTCTGGATGGCAGCCTGAGATTCAGCTACCAGTAAGTAGCAGCTGCCTCATTTAGATAAAAACTCTCCATAGTTTCCTATAGTTTCTACCCAAGCTGCTTTATTCCTTTATATTGTCTGCCCCAGCCCATTAAGCATTTTGAGTTTGCAATTCCTTACTGATAAAGTCCAGATTATTATTCTTTTTAGTGCATTTATTCATTTGAAAGGCAAGAGAGAAGGGGAAAGATAGAGAGAGATTGATTGATTGATTGATTGATTGATTGATTTTCTATCTTCTGGTTCACTTCCCAAATGGCTGCAATGACTTGACCTGGGCCAGGCCAAAGCCAGGAGCTAAGAGCCAGGACCTCCATCTGGGTGGCAGGGGCCCAAGCACTTGAACCATCCTTGTTGTTAAAATCCAAATTCTTTGTTGTGATTTGGAAGATTGCTTACCATTCTCACCAACCTACTTCCCTGGGTTATTGTCCCCAACCTCTGCTGTTATGCACTGTCCATTCCCCAGCCTCAGAAAACATCACTCAAATGTAAAATGTGGGGCTTGTGTTGTGGCAAAGTGGGTAAAGCCACTGCCTGCAATGCCAGCATTCCATATGGGTGCTAGTTCGAGACCCGGCTGCCCCACTTCCGATCCAGCTCCCTGCTAATGTGCCTGGGAAAGCAGCAGCAGATGACCCAAGTGCTTAGGCCCCCTGCACCCACGTGGGAAACCTGGAAGAAGCTCCCAACTCCTGGCTTTAGCCTGGCCCAACTCTGGCCATTGCAGCCATTTGGGGAGTGAACCAGCAGCTATTTCTCTCTCTCCCCCTCCTTCCCTCCCTCCCTCCCTCTCTGTCTCTTGCTCTCTCTGTATAACTCTTACTTTCAAATGAATAAATAAATCTTTTTAAAAAATAGTAGGTCATATATTCTATAAAAATAAATTTTAAAAAATGTGAAGTGTCCCATGTTCCCTGGAGTGCCTTTCCCCACCTTTCATGCTGTATGAAACATTTCCTGACTTTTCTAGGCAAAGCTGCAATCTTTCTGGTCTCCAGCAGTGCATGGGCGTGTCTCTGTGCTTGCACTTCCTGTCTGGAGGTTATTTGTATATGAGCCTGTGTCCACCATCACACTGTAAACCTGGTGGGGGAGTGCACCATAGTTTATCTGTCATTGTCTTCCGGCCTCATCACTGGAACCAGCCCAGCAAGTATCTGTTTTATAAAGAATGGATGGCTGTCCCTCTGAGCAGGATCTCAGTGTTTTTGAGTTTTGCTCATGGATAGAAAATGGAAAGAGAAGCTGGAGGGAAAAGCAAGTGTATTCCTTAGTGCTCTGAGTTTACAGTAAATGATGTTGCTTCTGGCTGTGATTTAGGAAAGCCATTGGCGGTTGAGGTCAGCTTGTGATGACTCTAATATCAACACCCAAATGCACTAAAACCAAAGCCAGCCCTGTGAGGTTTTTTTTTTTTTTAAAGATGTTTTACCAATTAGCATGCAGTACAGTTGATTCGTTGTAGTACAGCTCCACACGTATGACTCAATTGGGTAACCATGGCCATAATCAGATAGAACATTCCCTCTCACCCCCTAAAAAAGCTCCCTGCTGCCAGCCCTTTGTAGTTTCTCACACCCCTACTCTTAGACACTGGCAACCCCCATTCAGTTCTCCATCATTGTAGTTTTGGCTTTTTGAAAATGTCATATAATTGTCCATAACCTTTGGACCTTTTGAGCCTGGGGCCTTTTTTTTTTCTCAGATAATGCCTTAGAAATCCATCCAGATTGTGGGTATCAACGGTTTGTGCCTTTTCGTTGCTGAATATTCCATCGTATAGATGGATGGTTCGTGTGCCCATTCACCCACTGAAGGAACTTTAGGCTGTTTTAAAAATTTGATTGACTGAATCTGTATTATAGGTTTTGATTTGAATGGGAAAATTCACTTCTCTGAGAAATTACCTAGGAGTAGGATTGCTCCCAAATGCAAAGTATATGTTCAGATTCAAAAGAAGTGACAGAACTCATTCAGAGTGGCCATACTACTTTGCATTCCTACCAGCATAGTATTACAGTTTTAGTTGCTCCACATTCTGGCTTGCATTGGGTATTGTTAGTATTTTTTTTTTAAAGATTAATTTATTTGAAAGGCAGAGTGATAGAGAAGTAGAGAGAGATTGATCTTCCATTTGTTGGTTCATTTCCCAAATGGCTGCTATGTGACCCTAACAGATATGTCTGGCCAGCACTAAACCTTATGCATTTCTTCGACCTGTTAATAACTCATAACCCACCTTTTCTCTCTTTTTTAACAGCTTCCTAATGACTTGCAAAATCTGGCTTTTCTTTTTTCCTACTTTATGTAATCTTTTAATATGCAGAACTCACCCTTGGAAATATGCTTGATCCTTTCTGTTTATTTAAGTGCAAAATTACTTGGTATTCCTTTCCTCTCTTCACAAGGGAGCAAGTCCTTTCAATTGAGGTTCTTTGAATTTTTTTGATCATGAACAATTTACAGCAAGTTTTTTGAGAGTGGGCCCTTGATGCAGGCATGTTTATTTATTTATAACTGAGCTCCTGAACTCATAATGTGTGTGTGATCAAATTTACATGGAAATAGAAAAGTTAACAAGAATAAGACGATAAATTAGAAATATGAAATCTAATGCTTTGTTTCCTTTTTCCAACAGATTTCCGTACACCTGCTGTGGGGCTGGTACCTCGCTTTTGGAGATCACTGGGTATTAGGATGTGGTGATTGGCTGTGATTGTGTACCACTGGGCATAGGACCAGAAGGCTGGCTGAGCGTTTCCAGAGCTGGTAAGACAGCCCTGTCCAAGCTTCTTCCCTTTGGTGTTATTGGGCATTAAGGTGTCAGGGGTCACGAGTGGCAGACACCTTAAGGACCCACCACCAAACAGACCTGCACACATTGCTGTTTTCTCAGCCTACTCCGCAGCCCAACTGCTTTGCCTGGATTCTAGCATACTCTACAGGTTGTGTCAAAATCAATAATGGAAGCCACCATTTATCATTACTTCGCCTAGGCAGAAATTAGAAATGTCCCATTCCAGGAGGTTTGTAGAATAGGAGAGATTTGCTTATAATGCCTTTTCTTTCCCTAGTGAGGAGGGCCGCCTTCTCCATGCCCCTCTGTCTTCCCACAGTTTGTTACTGCCATGGACTAACCCATCAAAGCAGTTGAGAGCAAGGAGCTGATTGGGAAGGTGAAGGCAAAAGCAGCAGGGGAGTGCAGAAGTGAGAAAGCAGGGGAGGCTTGCAGGAAGAGTACGAGCCGCCAGGGGCTGGGAGGATGGCCACCTTTCCCTACTCTGCTCTGCCACAGCCTTATCGCCGGGACCATGGTTCCTTCTGCTTTCTGGTTCGCCTCTCACATTCATGCCCTCGTTCAGTACTGTAGAAGATGCATGACTGAGAACACCTCTCCTGTCCCCACCTCCTTTCTTCCGGCTAAGACCTGCTCGATTGTCAGCTCTAGCTCTTGTATCACTTCTTCTAGACAGTCTTCGCTCATCCCGCTTTCATGGATAGGGCTCCTTCTTGGTGTCCCCTCCTCTCCTATTAGAGACCTTATCATACCATATTACTTTCATTTATTCATGTAACATGTTTTTAGTATGTGCCTGGCGCTGTTAAAGGTACCTAGAGCTTATGTTCCAATAGAAGAGACAGATTTTAATTTGTAATCTTAAATTTACCTGTATAAATAAGGTGATTTGGCCCCATACCCCCCGTGTATTTTGTTCACCACGTGTGATCCTGTCTATGAGCACTCAGTAAACTTTTGTTGAATTGAATGGAAGGATTTAAGGCATGATAGTTAAGGATGACATGATGTTGTCATGGCCTTTTCCATGGGTAAACTCATCTCTCACCTTTCCTATTGGCTGTTTTCACATGATGATATGCCCATTGAGAGACAAATTGATCCACTTTGACTGTTAAGGGTACAAATCTGTTCATGAGTGGGCTTAGGACTATTAACATAACTTGGCCTGTTTTTTTTTTTTTCTTTTTTCAGCCTGAGAGAATACATCCCTGCTGGGCTGCTGGACAGCCGAAGAGCATCTGCGAAGAGGCTGAAAACTGAATTCTGCAGACACACAAGGTGCTGATCCAGGCAGGGCCCAGGTTTGAGTCCCGGCTCTGCCCCTCATTCGCTGGTTGACTTTGGGTTATAGTTCTTAGTGCGTAAACAGGAATAATAATAGTATACAGTGGTGTGCAGCTTAAGTAAGATTAGCACGTGTAAACTTACCAAGTGCCGAGAACATGGGAATGCTCAGTAAATGTGATGATCATTATTATGGCTTATCCCCATATGCCAGTGTTGGCCCTAGGACTCCTTGTGCTACTCAGAGTAACATTTCTATGTTTCAACCATAGTTGAATGGTTGTGCATTGACAGTGTTTGGCTGGGAGAGCCAGCTACATAGCTATGTTCACTACTGTTCTTGTCAGGGGCCTACATAATTATGCTATCATTGACAATGTATGCGGCACTCTCATCAGATCCTAGTCTTGGCATCCCAACCATGGACACCTGTCCAGTGTATTACCACACAAAGAACCCTCTGATAATATTTAATATGCTAATGGAGTACACAAGGCCAAAGCGGACTTTCCAGTTGTTTATGAAGTTACCCCATTAGATTAAATGGCAAACTAGGCAACCATTTTTCTAGATCTCCTGTGGTTCTTAATGGCAGCAAAGAATTGGGCTAAGGAGCCTCCTGTGTGGAGTTGAGATGGCTCTGGCTGGAGTCCTTTAACTCCTAGCAGGTGAACCCTAAGGACAGTGAGCTTGAAAACACATATGCTGTGTCACCTCTGCTTGGCAGGGTTTGGGAGGAGATTTCTGGCTGTGCAGCTACAGTCAGCGTGAGACCCTGGGAACAAGATCATCCCTGGATTGTCTGGCGTGGCCCTCCACCAGTGCCACAGGCACTTGTTTGCAAATGTGCTTCCTCCTCTTCCCTCTGAAACTCAGTAAAATCGCAGGCCAGCTTGTTTTGGCTTTTCTGCTGATGAGGAGTTAATTAAACAGCCTTTGGAGTACAAACATCCAGTGAATTTGCCCACAGCATTGCCCCCAGCAGCTACTCCCTTCAACCAGTGCCTTTATATTCTCAAGGAAGGATGTTTTGTTTTCTTTCTTCTCCTAATTGTACCTTTGCTACGCTACACCGGAATGTTTTCTAAAAATCATCTTCAGTTGACCTCCGGAATGTTTTTCTGCCCTGGTGGACTGAGGTCCTCTTTTCCACTTCGTACTGATGCAGATGATTTCTGGGAACAAGCAGAAGCCTGGTCCTGCCTGAACAGAGCCCGGTCCCCTTGGAAGCAGTCACGTGACTGATGACTTTGCAGCCCATTACTTGAGCACAGCCTTTATCACCAGGCCAGGAAGAGAGCAGGGCTGGGGCAGCCAGCTGCAGCTCAGGCCAGCGGAGCCGCACCCAGTCTGGGGCTCCGGGCTTCCTTCTAGGCTGCAAGGCGAGGCTGGCCGGCCCTGTTCTAGTTATTTCTTTGTGCATGGTTGTTATTTAAGCAAGCTTTCTCCTGGGGAGGCAGCAGACAGGTATAAATGTGTGTGAGGGGGTGCTCCAGAGAAAGCTGGAATTGTACATCTCTGCTTTCAGACTTCTGTGTTCTCTCACAGAGAGCGCTGGTTTCTCCTCTTTCTTTCTCTTGAACTGCCCAGGGTGAGGACACACCTCTGCACCGGCCCAGCAGAAGAAGCAGGTAATGTGTTTGTTTGTTCTTAGGTCTTTGGGAGAGGCAGTGTTGTGTGTTACAAAGAGATCATGCGGCCACAGCACTGGGAACAAGCTTTCTTTGGCGTGTGTTTTTTCGCTTTGCAATTTCTCCATGATGTGGATTGTAAGTCAGTTGTCTTCACTTTAAAAAGGCATACAGATGACTTTGCCGTCTGAAGGGCTGAGGCCCGTTTGAACTAGAGGTGACATGTGACAACACTCTGTGGTCTCTGGAGTGAGAGCTAGAAAGTGAGGAGTAGGCTGCGGAGGAAGTGGCAAAAACCCTTCCAGGTCCTTTGTGGACTGTTCCCCAGACTCTACTACACAGCCACATATGTAGAAATCTTCCTTCAGCTCCCTTGGCCTCCTGGAGTCTTTGAGGACCACAGAGTTCCCATCTTTCTGTAGAACACAGCAACAGAAATCTGTGATGCTCCAGAATTCTCTACAGTGATTTAGTTCTTAGACTGATCAGCTTGGATCCTGAAACCAGGGCATACCTAGTGTGGGGAGCAGCCCGGACTGGACTGAGTTACTGGAATTAAGACTTATTCTATGCATCTGCTCTCCCACAATATGGCGCTGGGAGAGAAGTAAACAGCTTCTGCACAGCTGCCTCCAGTTCAGCCAATAAACTGTAGGACTTGCTCCTGATTGGAGGAGAGCAGCGTACTCGGCGTGTGGGCAGCCGAGTTGGGATTGGCAGAGGAGGACTATAAAGGAGGAGAGAGACGGCATGCACCGGGAACATCTAAGGGGAACATCTAGCTGAAGGAACACCTGTGCAGCCCCCAGAGAGCCGGCCGGCGGTGTGCCGCTCCCCTGCGGAAGTGGGGAATGTGGCCAGGGGGAACTGCCCTTCCACGGAGGTGGAAGGGATAGTAGCCAACCCGGGAAGAACCAGCAGCAAACCCAGGGAGGGCCGAGCAGACGAAAGAACAGCGCAGGGTCCTGTGTCATTCCTCCACGAAGAGGGGGAGCGACACCTAGCATTTTGGTAGACATCTTTGTTCTTTGATAACTAAATAGAATGTGTCTTTGATTCTGCCACTAATAAGCTGTATAGGGAGCATGGCCTTTCATTTCTGAGCCTCAGTTTATTCATCTGTAATATGGGGATGATAATACCACCCTGAAGATTTACTGTGAAGATTAAATGAAGTAATAGACATATGAAGCGCCTACTGTGATAAACAGTAGTCCCTTAATAATAGTAGTGAATTTAGCTGTTCTTTTTATTATTATAGCATTCTTTCTGATCTTTGAGCTCTCTGAGAAAACAGCCCATTTCTTTGTGAATCTTCAGTTATTCAGAACCTGTAGGGCTTTAGTTGCTGGGAGCCCCCAGCCAAAGCATTCTGAAGGAAGAGATTTGGACAAACTCAGTGGGCAACTCCCCAAGCATGGCTTCTCCTAAGTCAGCTAAGAAGAGTTGTTTTTTGTTCAGTCAGTGTTTCCCCCCGCTGAGCTCTTCAGTAAAGCCTCAGTAGTCAGGAAGCTGTGTGTTATTATCCCTATCTGCTTATGTGGAAACTGAGGTGCAGAGGAATTAATGACTAGTTGAGAATTCCCACTCTGGTTTGTCTGACTTCTAAACCCAAGACTCCAAGCAGTTACGAACTATGGTTTTCTTCGAGATGCTCTATCTCAGACGGGTCCCCAGCTAGGCTCTTTGGGAAACAGTACTCAGATCTTCCTTAGAGAATCACAATGCACATGAATATATTGAGGGCTCTGAGAAGTCCTGCAGTAATAAAAACCCTGAGTAACGCTAACTCCTCTAGACTTACTTGATGGTGGACCTTTTTGATTTTTGCCTCATCCCTAGAATCATAAACCACATAGAATTACTTTTTCACAAACGCTTTGAAAACTCCAGGCCAAGCTGTCTCCTGATACCCATAGACATCTTGTGACACCTCTGATGGTTGGTGTCATTTCCTCCCATTTCATATCCTTTCATCTGATGAGACCCAGGAAGACTCTAGTCTAAAAGACCTCCCCTTATTCAGGTAAGACCCCACCCCGTGAAAAAAGAAGACCTCAGGCCCAAGCAACTACTATAGTGTTCTACTGGACACTAGTGGAAGGGACCTCTCTGGCATGTGCACACAGTCCCACAGTCCTAGGTGGAAGAATTGGGCCTGCCTACTTAACTTGTACTGTAGTGGTAGTGATGGGGTTGGTGCCACTTGACTATGGGTTTCAAATTTGAGTTCTTTAGGGCCAGAGCTTGAAGAGGAATTTCTCTAGGAAATGCTGACTTTGTAGCAAGGGGAACTACCCAACCAACATCTAGAATGCCAGAGGTGCATCTTGGTCAGTGTAGCTGAACCAAAGTGTGGGAGTTGGGTAGAGATGCACTTTGAGATAAAATAATGCTATGATGAAATAGGAACGACTTGGGAGGCTGGGCTAGCACTTGGAGGGTGCTTGGTGGCAGAGGTTAGGCTGGCTCCAAGGGCTGTCTTTTGTTCTTCCCTTGTGTTTCAGCTCTAAAAAATGTAAAGTTGTTCGGAGGAAAAGAGCCAAACAACATCAAAGAATTCCATTTTCTTGTCCCTACCCCTACCCCAGCACACACACACACACACACAGACACACACACACACACACACACACGCACACTAAAAGCCTTTTAGCAGAAGTCTCCTTTTGCAGACTGGATGTGAGTGCCAATGATGAGTCACTTTTTTGTTTACTCTTTAAAACCATCTTTGGTATATATTGGAAGGGGCAGTAGCCCTGGGCAGATTTCAAGCTGCTTTCTCCCTAGATCCACCCAAGTGTTGTCACTGACCAGGGCCTCCTTGGGCGTTTGTGAACCCTGCAGAAGTCTGAGGACCCTTTTTAGGCCCTAAGCTGTGGCCTCTTCAGAGACTTCTTTAGTGCTCCGAGTGTTTTCCTACTGCTAACAGAAGGTGGGCAATGGAAGAAGCTTAGGCTTGACCAAGGAGTGGAAAATCCCCAAATCATCTCGGTCAGCTTTACAGACACAACAAACTTGCTTCATCCTCTGGCTCCAGGTTGGGCAGCATATGGGTATGGTAAGTGGCACCTTGCCTTAACCAGCTCCTGTTTTGGTGAGAATTAAAAAGAATTTTTTTAAAGCCTGTTACTTGAGGTAGAAAAACCATTTAAAAATAATTTAACAGTAATTATTTAATAATGTAAAAATAATTGCCAATTATTTTTTTCTAGTAGACAACTAAAGAATTCTAGAACAATTGTTTCTTTCCATCATGATTTTAAAATAAAATGCATGTATAAGCACTACTTATTTTCTGATTTAATAAAAGGCTTTTTAATAATCAACTACCATGTATCTGGATACAACATGGTAGCCCAATAATAACTTCTGGCAAATTAATGTTTTAAAGATCCCTGGCTTTAAAACACTCATTCATTCATTTAGCATTTATCAAACACTTGCTATGTGAAAGGCAATGTATAGGTGTCAGAGATTCAAAGCATATTTAAAAAGAAAGTCATCCATGGAGCTAACAGTCTAAGAGAAATTCATTTAAGTTTGATGCTTTTTGGTTCCTAGTGAATCCTACTCTGTTGTGTAATGAATCAGCTGAGGAGTGGCTGAGAATCAAATGGCTTTGGAGAGACATTGCTTTATTTATTTATTTATGGAAAAAAGAAAATTGAGATCGAAATATATATCACTTCCTGTTGTCTAATCAGTGTTTGTTTCCTACTCAAACTTCTTAGGTATTCATAAAAACAGGTTGAACAAAAAGCGTAAGGGTGGAGCAAAGCCCAGGGGAAATAAGGACACTGTTGGAGAGCAATGTTTTTTTTTTTTTTTTTTAAAGATTTACTTATTATTTGAAAGGCAGAGTTACAGAGAGAAGGGAAGAGAGAGAGAGAGAGAGAGAGAGAGAGTCAGTCCATCAGTGGTTGAATCCCCAAATGACCATAATGGTCGGAGCTGGGCTGATCCGAAGCCAGGATCTCAGAGCTTCTTCTAGGTCTCTCACATAGATGCAGGGGCCCAAGGACTTGGGCCATCTTCCACTGCTTTCCCAGGCTGCTAGCAGGGAATTGATTGGAAGTGGAGCAGCAGAGACTCGAACCGGTGGCCATATGGGATGCTGGCGCTGCAGACTGTGGCTTAACCTGCTGTGCCACAGCGATGTGGGGACTGTCTGTATCAAAGTCCTCTGACAAGTACACTTTAAATGCAGATTCCCAGGCTCCTTTTTTTTTTTTTTTAAATCTGAGTATTAGATGCAAAGCCTAGGTGTCTACATTTTTTTTAAAGATTGAAAGGCAGAATTTCAGAGGGGGAAGGAGGGAGAGACACAGAGATCCTCCATCTGCTTGTTCACTCCCCAGATGGCTATAATAGCCAAGACTGAATCAGGCCAAAGCCAAGCACCTGGAACTCCATCTGAGTCTCCCATGTTGGGTGCTGGGGCTCAATGACTTGGCCTATCTTCTGTTGCTTTCTCAGTCATATTAGCAGGGAACTGGATTAGAAGTGGAGCAGCCAGGGCTCCAACCAGTGCTCTCATGGGATGCTGGCACTGCAGGCCGAGGCTTAACCTGCTACGCCACAGGCGTCTACATTTTTAGCTGCCAGCCTTGTAAATCTTGCGAACACTCAATTTGGAGAGCACTGAGCTCATCACTTGGAGAATGTTAACAGGACTAGATGAGTCACTTCAAAGGGTGATGAGGAAACCAGCAGATATGTGCTCCTAGGCACCACAGATGGCCTTTGAGAAACTTTTGAGTATGGAGATGGGTCAACATTGCCCCAGTTTCAAAAACGAGAAAGAGTAGATACCAGAAACTACAAACTTGTAACCCTGACTTGACCTCTGGAAAAATATGACTTCAGATAGATGGCGTCAAAAAGCGTTTCTAGGAAAATGTGATGATCCCTAAGTGTCATCATGGGTTCTGAAACTATTGTCTCCATGAGAGAGTGTCAAACTTTGTTGTATATTAGAATTGTCTGGGGAGCTTGAAAAACATCATGGTGCTCAATCTACCACCAACATGCATGAATCTCTAGCGATGGAACCTGGGCATCAGTATTTTTTAAGCCCCCAGTGTTTCTGACTTGATGAGCACAGGCTGATTATTGGGAGTTTTAATAGCTCCCCAGGTGATTCTAATGTGCAGTCAAGTTTGACAGCCCCCAGTTTACCTGACATCGGGTCGGTTGCTTAACTTCCTTACACTTTGTATAATACAAGGGTATTTCAAGAAGTTTATGGAAAATGGAATTGCAAGATAAGTTTATTTTAGTGCCAAAAATTTTGAAATCCATGTATATGAGGGATTTTCAAAAAGTCCATAGGAAATGTATGTTATAAAAATAGATATAATTTTTAGAATAATTGTATCTTTTAATTCCATTTTTCCATAAACTTTTTAAAGTACCCTGATACTAGATGATTTTAAAGTTCTCTCCCACCTTTAAACTTTTGTGATTCTGTTATTAAAAAACATAAAAGCTGATTTTTCTGCCTCCCTTCCTTTCTTTTGTCCTCTTCTTCTTCCCATCCACTACTTCCTCCTCCCCTTCCTCCTCTACCTATTCCTCTTCTTTTGTTGGGCTGCAATGTCAAGGTATCAAAATGTATATCGTAATTTCATTAAAATATTGACTGAAGTCTTCCAGAAAGCCTCATAGGTAAATAAGATGATAATTATGATAGTTGAATTTACCACCTAACTGAACCAGTATGCTTCAAGAGGGAATGTAATGGATCTAATGTAATGGAGACCCTGGAATGGAATGGAATGCTGAAAAACTTGTTCTGCCCCTGGACCTGACCTTGTTAACATTTTATCCATGACATTTAGAGAAAAATGATATGTAATAAATGCCTTTCAAATTTAGAAATTACTCAAAGTTTAGGAGGGTTAATTAATTGAATACGTAAAAGGCTCGGGCCCAACTTTAATCAGAAAGTTTGTTCATTAAAGTTATTTTTGTTTTAAATATATTCCTATAGTTCAAAAAAACGTATAGGAATGAAACAGACACCTTGTGAGATGATTGTCATTTTTAGCCCTTGTTTATACTCCTGTGGAGCTGTGGTCTTCCTACTTTTTACTTGTTGAATATTATGGTTAGTGGTGAATTAGGCCTGTGATTATGGAGTACATTAAAATTATGTCTTTGAAAAACTAATGAAAAGGAAACAAAGAAGGGAAGGAGGAGGGTTGGGGGAGGGAGGGAAGTCTGGTTGTCTTCTAAGAACTGTACCTATGGAATTCATGCAATCTGTTCTCTTTACATTAGTACAAATTTTAAGAAAAAGAAGAAAAAATTCCCATAGTCTAAATATTTTGCTCATTTTAATTTTCCCTTTCTTTAATTGAGTTCAAATTTTGTGGCTTTTACTACAGTAGTGATAGAAAAACAGATGTGTCAGGTGGATCCCGGAGTTAGTTGTCCTCTGACTTTGTTCACATCAAGAGATACAAATATATTAGAGCAGGCTGGTTTGGAGCATCACCAAATACAGGACACATCACCCCCAAAAGTGATGGGGTGGGATACTGCTATTTTGCTAACAACTCCATCAGGTCGTTATGGAAGATAACTCTGAGAAGGCCTGGTGAGCACACAGGTCAACTGTAGAGGTATCTCAGGAATGCCTGGGGAGTTTTTCAAAAGGACACTTTCCTAGGTTATGACTCCTAAACTTGGGGGGGGGGAATCTTGAGCCTCCTCTATTTTTTTTTAAGAGAGAAGACTTTTTTTGTAAAAGATGTATTTATTTATATGAAAGGCAGAGTTACAGAGAGCCAGAGGCAGAGAGAGATGTCTTCCATTCACTGGTTCACTCTGCAAATGGCTGTGACAGTGGGAGCTGGGCTGATCTGAAGCCAGGAACCAGGAGCCAGGAGCCAGGAGCCAGGAGCCAGGAGCCAGGAGCCAGGAGCCAGGGGCTAGGAGCTTCTTCCAGATCTCCCACATGGGTGTAGGGGCCCAAGGACCTAGGCCATCTTCCACTGCTTTCCCAGGTGCATACCGGCACCCATATGGGTTGCTAGCACCACAGGAGGTGGCAGGCCACCCCCAAACCCCCCACCCCATGACCCAGCCTCTTCTATTTTTAAACAAGTACCAGCAACTGACTCAGAAATATTGTCAAAGAGCTCGCTGTGATTTGAACTTCGACTTAGTTGTTTAAGTGTTGTTTTTGTCTCATAGTTACTCTCCAATTTGTATTTTTAAAAACCCAGATAGATTAAATAACTTTGAACTTGAAACCAAAACAGTTAACCGATGTCATAATGGGATGTGTGCTCCATATCCCATTTCCTGTATACGTCGATTAGAAAATCGTACCCTCTTACATTTCACTTTTTCTTTCCATTACTTTTAGTGCTTAATTTTGTACAGAGTTTGATCTGACCCAGACATGGGGAAGCAATGATTTACACGTAGCACAGAAAGCAGTGTCTACAGTGTCTAGCCACTCTGTAGCTGTTGCTGTAGGTTTCGATGATGTCTGAACAGCACTTCCGGAGGAGTGCAGCAGGGATCCTGCTGGGCAGCCCCTTGGCTACCACGTTGTAACTGGTGCTTTCCTTCTCTCCCTCCTCTGTCTTCCTTGGTAGTATCTGTAACTGAAGGGGATCGGCTAAGAGGCTCCTCTCGGCGTAACACGCAATTCCAGTTCATGAGTGAACATTTGTGATTTGGAAGTCATGGGTTGCAGCAGTTCTTCAGCGAAAGACAAGAAATCTGAGAAAGGTGAGTGCTGGAAACGTGCCTGTGTTTATAAGTGAAAGGGCCAGGGCAGTCGGACTCACGTTCTCCCCTTCCTTCTTCCTCTTCTGGTTCTCTGGCTGCCCTGGGTGGTTTTGTGCGAGGCATCATTGTTTAGAGTGAAGGTGAACTACTGGAGGAGCATGGGAAATGACCTTTAGGAAGATACAGCTTTGAATTTATGATATATCATAAAGTATTACCTAAGAGATATCTTATGCTTGATTTAATTTCAGTTGAAAGTGCACCAACATTAAATCTCAATTTAAAACTCAGTGGCAGGAAACAAGAAAGACACCACAATATATGTCTGTTTCTTCAATGCTCTTATAAATGCTTATATCCATACCCATGTGACATTTAGTAGCATCATTGAATTTTTATTGGATTTGGTAACTCAATGATTACATTATTTTTATATCTATTCAACACACAACTTCATGAGATTTGCCTCATGTTTTTAAACTATTCTAGGAAGAATTGGAAGAATGCTGGATCATCTGTTTCCAAGAAAAGTGTTTTGTTTTGAAATAGATGACATGCTTCTCTCTACCCTCATATAATTAGAAGCTTAAATATTTTCTTGGTTTGTTTTACACTGAGCTTCTTTCTCATGGCTACTGAAATCTAGCTGTAACTCACTTGAATGTTTATGGGAATTGCTTCCCCAAGCAAATTAAAATAAAAGCAAATAAATAAAGTGGGACAATTATATGACTAATTTGTTCTAGAACTCGATGCCTTAGTTACCGAGGTTATAGATAATTTTCTCAGTTTCTATTCCACATGTCTGCTTCAGAGCTTGTGGTGGTGAGGTTAGAGTGCAGAGTCTTCTGTACTGATCAGTGTGGGATGTTTTCCCTTGGGAATCCACTGTTCTCCCTTCCAACTGACTTGTGCTGATGGGCTAGTGAGCAAATCTCTGAAAGGAGGAAGGAACACAGGAGGTATGCTAACTTTTTCAAAAAAATTTTTTTAAAGATTTATTTATTTTGAAAGTTGGAGTTACAGAGAGAGAGGGAGAGACAGAGATCTTCCATCTGCTGGTTCACTCCCCAAATGGCTGCAACAGCCAGGGCGGGCCAGGAGCCAGGAGCTTCATCCTTGTCTCCCACGTGGGTGGCAGGGGCCTAGGTACCTGAGCCATCTTTTGCTGCTTTCCTAGGCCATTAGCAGGGAGCTAGATCGGAAGTAGAGCAGCCATGGCATGAACTGGCCCATATGGATGCTGGTGTGGCAGGCAGTGGCTTTACCTGCTAAGCACAACACGAAACATGGGCTCCTCTTTCAAATTTTTAAGCATGTCATGAAATGAATCCAAAGCTTCAAACTGCATTAATTCTGTAGTAGTACTATATAAACAGAGAGTGAAGAGAGTAGCTATTGCTTTTTATTTATTTAATTTTTTTGACAGGCAGAGTGGACAGTGAGAGAGAGAGAGACAGAGAGAAAGACTATTGCTTTTTCTCTAGGACTACCCACAATTCTTTAAATGTAGCCAAATATCTTAGGTCTAAGAAAACAGGCTACGCCTAAATTGTAAAAGTAAATTCTCTGTTTTGAAATGTTACATGTCAGTGGAAGTATTAGCTTAGATTTTTAATTGCTTTTTCTTTTAAATAATTTATTGCGGTGAAATTCACACAGCATTAGGTTAACCATGGTAAAGCAAATAATAAAGTGGCATTTGGTTCATTCACAATGTGGTGCAACCACTACCCCTACCTAGTTCCAAAATATTTCCATGACTCCAAACTCAAACCCTTAGTTACTAAGCAGTTTCTCTTTACTTCTCTCTTCTTCCAGCCGGTGGTAATCACCAGTCTGCATTCTGTCTCTATGGATTTATCCATTCTGTACATTTTATGTAAATACAATCATATGTTATGTGACCTTTTGTGTCTGGTTTCGTCCATATTGTAGCATACAATAGTACTTCAATTCTTTTTAGTTTTTAAAGATCTATTTATTTATTTGAAAGGCAGAGTTAGAGAGAGCACAAGCGAGCTTCCATCTGCTGGTTCACTTCCCAAATGGGCCAGGCCGAAGCCAGGAGCCTGGAACTTCATTTGGGTCTCCCTCATGGGTGCAGGGACCCCAGGACTTGGGCCATCTTCTGCGGCTTTCCCAGGTATATTAGTAGGGAGCTGGGTTGGAAGTGAAGCAGCAGGGACTTGAACTGGTACTCATATGAGAAGCAGGTGTCACAGGCAGCAGCTTAACCTGCTGTGCCACAACACCAACCCCCTTTCCTTCTCAATGTTGAATAATATTCCATTATATGAATATGCTATATTGTCTTTAACCAAGCATCAGTTGATGGACATTTAGGTTGTATCTATTTTTGACTATTACGACCAATGTTGCTATGAACATTCATAGGCAAGTTATTGTGTGAACATATATTTTCAGTTCTCTTGGGTATATACCTAGGACTGGAAGTGCTAGGTCGTCTGGTAGCTCTATGCTTAACATTTTGAGAAATTTCCAAACTGTTTCCCCAAGTGGCTGTACTGTCCGTCCTTCCTTCCTTCCTTCCTTCTTTCCTTTCTTTCCTTCTTTCTTTCCTTCTTCCTTCCTCCCCTCCCTCCCCTCCCCTCTCCTCTCCTTTCTTTTCTCTCCCTCTCTCCCTCCCTCCCTCCCTCCTGATTTATTTATTTATTTGAAAGACAGAGTTACAGAGAGGGAGACAGAAACAGAGAGAAAGAGATCTTCGATCCACTGCTTCACTCCCCAAATGGCTGCAATGGCTAGAGCTGGGCTGATCTGAAGCCAGGAGCTTCTTCTGGGTCTCCCACACGGGTGTAGGGGCCCAAGCACTTAGGCCATCTTCCACTGCTATCTCAGCAGAGAGCTAGATTGGAAGAGGAGCAGCTAGTACTTTCACCCATGCCCATATGGGATGCCGTTACTGCAGGCAGTGTCTTAACCCACTACACCACGGCGCTGGCCCCTCCAGTCTATATTTCTGTGTGAGGGTTCCAATTTCTCCACATCCTCTGCCAGTACTTGTTATTATCTGTCCTTTTTATTGTAACCATCCAAGGGTTACGAAGTGGTATCTAATTATAGTTTCCATTGGTACTTCCCTAGCAACTAATGACATTGAGCATTTTTATTGGCCAGTTATGTTTATTAGCCAGTTATGTATCTTTGAAGACATGTCTATTAAGGTCACTCACCCATTTAAAAAATATTTGAGAGGCAGAAAGAAAGAGACAAGAGACAACAGTCCCATCCATTGGTTCCACCCACACAATGGCTGAGGGACTGAGTTGGGAGGTATGAATTCAGTCTAGTTCTTCTACATAGATGGCAGGGACCCAACTACGTGAGCCATTATCTGCTGCCTCCCAGGGTGCACATCGGCAGGAAGCTGGAATCAGGAGCTGGGCTATCAAACCCAGGGACTCCAATATGGGATGTGGGCATCTTAATCAGGGGCTTAACTGGTAGGCCAAATGGCTGCTTCCACCATTTTTAATTGTTATTTATTCTTATATGTTATTTTATTGTAAGAATTCTTTATGTAGTTTAGATACAAGTCCCTCATCAAATATGCTATTTGTTAAGTCTTTTCTCCCATTCAGTGGATCATATTCATATGTTCTTCAGGCATTCTTTGGAGCACAAAAGATTTTAATTTTGATGAAATCCAATTTTTTCTTTGGTTGCTGGTGCTTATGATGTCATATCTGAAAATCAGTTGCCAAATGCAAGATAATTTATGCTCATGCTTTAATTTTTGTAGTTTTATTTCTTATATTTAGGTTTTTGATCTATATGTACTTAATTTCTATATATGTATGAGGTGAGGGTACCCGTTCTTACTTTGCATGTTGATATCCAGTTGTTTAAGCACCATTTATTGAAAAGACTCTTTCTCCCACTGAATGATCTTGGTACTCTTGTCAATAATCAATTGAAAGTTTTATTTATGGGCTCTTAATTTGATTCCATTGATCTGTATGTTTTTCTCATGCTTGCGATAAGCACTGTGTCTTGATTATTACAGCTTTCATAGAAAGTTTTGAAGTTGGGAAGTATGAATCGTTCAACTTTGCTTCTTTTTTAAGATTGTTTGGACTATTCTGTACCCCTTGCATTTCCCTATGAATTTTAGGATTGGTCTATCAGTTTCTCAAAAGAAGCCAGCTACAATATTGATGGAAATTGTGTTGAATCTATAGATCAATTTGGAGAATGTTACCAGCTTACTTATTACATCATCTGATCCATGAATATTGGATGTGTTTCCATTTATTTAGGTCTTCTTTAATCTAACAATGTTTTGTGTTGTTCAGCCTATAAATTTTACATGTCTTTTGTTGACTTGAGTATTTTTTTCTTTTTGGTGCTATCATAATTGGAATTGTTTTTCTCAATTTCATGTTTTGCTTGTTCATTGCAAACATTAAAAAAATATTTTTTGTATATTGATTTTGTAACCCAAAATCTTGCTGAACTCGTTTATTAGCTCCAACAGATTTTTAGTGGATTCCTTAGGAATGTTAACTTATAAATCATGTCATCTGCAAATAGAGACAGTTTTGCTTCTTCCTTTCCAATGTCTTTTGTTTCATTTTCTTGCCGAATTGTCCTGGCTAGTACCTCTGTTGTGATGTTGAATAGAAATGCAAGAGCAGACATCCTCGCTTTTTTACAAAATTAATTTATTTGAGAGACAGAGAGCTGCCAGTTGCTGATCTATTCCACAAATTTTCACAAATGCTGAAGGGCTGAAGCCTGGACCCAGGAAGTCAGTCCAGGTCTCCCGTATGGGTAACAGGATCTCCATGTTTGAGGCATCGTTGCTGACTCCCAGGGTCTGCATTAGAGCAGCCCCAGTGTGGAACACCAGCACTCTGATATGGGATGTGGGTGTCTTACTACCATTAGGTCAAATGCTGCCGCTCTGCACTCCCTCCTCATCTTGATCTCAGATGGAAGGCATTCAGTCTTTCCCCATTAAGTGTAATAATAGCAGTGGTTTTTAAAAAAGTATATGCTCTTTATCAAGATGAGGAGGTTCTGTTCTTCTAGTGTTCAGTTTTTGAGATGATCATGTGATTTTTGTCCTTTATTCTATATTATGAAATAATATTCTACAATATGACATATTACATTAGTTGAATTTTGATACAGACTACCTTTTTCATTCCTGAGATAAATCCCACTTGATCATAGTGTATTATACATTTTATGTCTTGCTGAATTTAGTTTGCTAATATTTTGTAGGAGAATTTTATATCTATATTCCAAAGAAGCAAGCTGCAACATTTATGGAGAATATAAGTTCTTTTCTTGCATCATCTTTATCTGGTTTTGATACCACGGTAATGGTGGCCTTACTGAGTTGGAAAGAGTTTGTGATTAACAGGCGTGTCAGTTGTCAGTTCTTTTCTTTTTTTTTTTAAGATTATTTATTTGAAAGGCAGAGTTAGAGAGAGAGAGAGAGAGAGAGAGAGAGATACTGACAGAGTGAGTGAGCAAGATCTTCCATCTGTTGGCTCACTCCCCAAATGGCCACAATGGCCAGAGCTGGGCTGATCCAAAGCCAGGAGCCAGGAGCTTCTTCCAGGTGACCTACATGGGTGCAGGGGCCCAAGGTCTTGGGCCATCTTCTGCTGCTTTCCCAGGCACATTAGTAGGGAGCTAGACCAGAAGTGGAGCAGCTGGGACTCAAACCTGTGTCCATATGGGATGCTGGAGCTGCAGGTGGCAGCTTTACCTGCTACGCAACAGTGCTGGCCCCTGGTGTCAGTTCTTTAATAAATGTTCTGTGGAATTTATTGGTAAAGCTGTCAGGGCTTGGGGTTTTCTTTGTGGGTAGTATTTTTTTTTTTACTTAGTGTAACTCTTTCCTTGTAGATCTATTTAAACTTTCTGTGGCTTTTGAGTCATTTTCAGTTGTTTGTGACCTAGGAATTTGTCCATTTCATTTATCTAATTTATTAGCATGTACTTGTTCAGAATATTCTCTTAAAATTCTTTTTATTCACCTATTATCTCTTGTTGAATACATCAGTAAGGGTTTATTATGATTTCATCAGAAAGCAGATGTAATGGTGTTTATTTACATTTACCCAAAGACATTTTATGCATGACAATTTTTCCTCATCCAGAAATTTTGGGAAAAATTAAAAAACAGTTGGAAATAATATTTATAACCTGTTAGTCTCATCATTTCTCTCCAGGTTTTTGTTTTTTATGATATAATGTAGATTTGTGATCATCCTTAATAGTCACTTTTTGTAACCTGACTGAAATGTTATTCATATATAAACACTTTTTATGTCATTTAGTGGATAGGCCATAGTATACTTGATTATTCTCCTAATATTGAACCTTTTAAAAACTAATATAACTAAGCCTCTGAGGAATTTCTTTGTGCAAAGCTGTTTGCTTATTTTGGATTATTCCTATAATCAGGTGATTAGATCTGAAATGATTATGTAAAAGAGCTATGAATATTTTGAAAGCTCTTGATAGAAAATTATAGCTATTATTTCCTGATTACTAACTGTATTCTGGAGAGTGTTCAACATATGCTACATGTGTTTTATTTAGTCCTTGCAATAAAGCTGAGTGAAGTGTTGTTATTTCCATTTTACAGCTGAAGCAGTTCCCACTCAGCGAGGCAAGTGCTTGTCAAGGTTATACAACATTCAGCTGTCACACCTGAGATTTGAACTCAAGGAGTTCTGACTACAAGGTTTTTTTTGTTTTTGTTTTTGTTTTTGTTTTTTTCTTTCCTGTCAACATTATACCCTTGTGTGCTGCCTGCCAGTGTTCCTGCCTTCAGAACCTAGGTTTAATTGAATTTACTTAATATAAAGTACCTTTGATTTGTATGGCTTTTATAGTTGGCCAGACCATTTCACATACTTTAGATGTTCACAACCTTTGCAGAAAAGGAAACTGAGGCTTTGAGAGGCGAAACGATTTGCTGGAGGATGCATAGCTAGTAACTGGCAGAGCCAAGGGGAACTTTCTTCCTCTTTCTACTGGTCTGACCAGTGTTAAGCATGTTTTTTCCTGCTTGGTCGTTCAGCTCCAGCACAGAACTCTGGCCCTGGAGTATCATGGCAGTTTAAGAAAGATAAAACTATATATACAATGGAGACTGGTGAGGGCGAGTGTTGTGACAGTGTGGGACACCTGCATCCTGAATTGGAGTGCCTCATTTAAATGCCAGCTACTCTGCACTTCTGATCTAGCTTCCTGCCAGTGCGCTTGGAAGGCAACAGATGATGGTCCAGACACTTGTGCTCCTGCTATCCAGGCAGGAAGCCTGGAAGGAGTTCTTGGCTCATGGCGTTGGACTGGCCCACCCCTGCCTACTGCAGACATTTGGGAGGTGAACTAGTGAACAGAAGATCTTTCTTTTCTCTCTCTCTCAGATTTTAAAGTACACAAATAAATCTTTAAAAAATATTGAGGCTATCCCCTTCCTAGGGACCTTCTGCCCTTCCATGTAGGAAAGTAGTATTGATTTTGTATTATTATTTTTATTTCACTTCTTTTGGGAGATGCACCAGGTAAGAGAATACTGATACCAGCTGTTATTTATTTAGTGCCTACTGCATTCATTATTTCTCACCAAAACCCTTGGAGGAAGCATGGCTTAGTCTCCTCCCATAGATGTGGAAACTTCGACTTAGGTTGAAGAACTACCCAAAGTTACACATTATTTGATGGTTCAGCAAATCCCAAAATTCCGAGCCTATATTTATGCTCCCCTGACTTGGAGAATTGAGATTTCTCCAACATTACAGAAATAAAACATTGTAACTTCAATCTCACTTTACACTTGAATTTTATGTCAGTGAGTTTTCAATGAATAATATATTGCCTTTTTTTTCTTGTGGAGCACTTTGAGAAGACAGATACATTTTATTTCTTCCTTAGCGATCACTTAAAATGCATTTATTCAATTTGTCTAAGTGCTAAGCAGCTGACAAAAACTATCTATACCTTTTTGGCTTTAAAGTTTAATGCTTAAGCTATAACAAAATATTTCTCTGATGGAGATTGTTCTTATCGAAAGATTTGCTCTATTTTTATTTAAGAATTAAAAAATACTAAATAGCAAGCAAAATATTTTTTAAATTCTTGGTAGGACTGTTGGTAAAAAGAATCTAGTTAACTTAGTGTTTTAAAATCTAACAAACCATTCACCTCTGCTTCAGAGCCCTCTTCTGGCTACTCTCAGTCCTGTGGCCTCCACCCCTTCACCTCACAGTTTAAGTTCCTTACAGTGGGGCCTGCGCCGTGGCTCACTTGATTAATCCTCCACCTGCGGTGCCAGCATCTCATATGGGCACTGGTTCTAGTCCTGGTTGCTCCTCTTCAGTCCAGCTCTCTGCTGTGGCCCAGGAGGGCAGTGGAGGATGGCCCAAGTGCTTCGAATCGGCACAGTGCCGGCCGTGGCGGCCATTTGGGGAGTGAACCAATGGAAGGAAGACCTTTCTCTCTGTCTTTCTCACTGTCCAACTCTGCCTGTCAAAAAAAAAAAAACAAAAAACAACAGATATTTATTCTCACAATTCTGGATGCTGGGAAGCCTACGATCCAGGCGCCACAAAATTCAGTAGGTGGTGAGGGCCTGCTTCATCATAGATGGTGCCTTCCCACTGCCTCTTTTATAAGAGCCCTTGTGACCTAGTAACCTCCCAAAGGATGCACATTTGAAGACGTCAGCATCAGGGTAGGCGTTTGGTACAGTACTTAAGATGCTGCTTGAGACCTCCATGGCCCAGATCAGAGTACCTGGGTTCAAATCCCAGCTCTGCTTCTGACCGCCCTTCCTGCTAGTGTGCATCCTGAGTGGCAGCAGGTGATGGTTCAAGCACTTGGGCCCCTGCCAGCCACGTGGGAGGCCTGAATTGAGTTCCAAGCTCCTGACTTGGGCCTAGTCCAGCCCTGGCTATTGCAGACATTTGGGGAGTGAATCAGCAGATAGATCTCTCTCTGTGTTTCAAATAAATACTACTGTATCGGAGATTATGTTTAAACATAAATGTTTGGGCTGGCGCCGCGGCTCACTTGGCTAATCCTCTGCCTGCAGCGCCGGCACCTGGGGTTCTAGTCCTGGTTGGGGTGCCGGATTCTGTCCCGATTGCTCCTCTTCCAGTCCAGCTCTCTGCTGTGGCCCAGGAAGGCAGTGGAGGATGGCCAAGTGCTTGGGCCCTGCACCTGCCTGGGAGACCAGGAGGAAGCTCCTGGCTCCTGGTTTCAGATCAGCGCAGCTGGCCATGGCGGCCATTTGGGGAGTGAACCAATGGAAGGAAGACCTTTCTCTCTGTCTCTCTCTCACTGTATAACTCTACCTGTAAAAAAAAAGTTCCTTACAGTGTTGTATATATTTTTTTAACTTTTATTTAATGAATATAAATTTCCATAGTACAGCTTATGGATTACAATGGCTCCCCCCCCATAACTTCCCTCCCACCCACAACTCTCCCTTCTCCCGTTCCCTCTCCCCTTCCATTCACATCAAGATTCATTTTCAATTCTCTTTATATACAGAAGATCAATTTAGCATATATTAAGTAAAGCTTTCAACAGTTTGCACCCACAGAGAAACACAAAGTGAAAAATACTGTTTGAGTACTAGTTATAGCATTAAATCACAATGTACAGCACATTAAGGACAGAGATCCTACATGAGGAGTAAGTGCACAGTGACTCCTGTTGGTGACTTAACAAATTGACACTCTTGTCTATGGCGTCAGTAATCACCCTAGGCTCTTGTCATGAGTTGCCAAGGCTATGGAGGCCTTTTGAGTTCGCCAACTCTGATCATATTTAGACAAGGTCATAGTTGAACTGGAAGTTCTCTCCTCCCTTCAGAGAAAGGTACCTCCTTCTTTGATGACCTGTTCTTTCCACTGGGATCTCACTCACAGAGATCTTTCATTTAGGTTGTTGTTGTTGTGTGTGTGTTTGTGTGTGTGTGTGTGTGTGTGTTTTTTTTGCCAGAGTGTCTTGGCTTTCCATGCCTGAAATACTCTCATGGGCTCTTCAGCCAGATCCGAATGCCTTAAGGGCTGATTCTGAGGCCAGAGTGCTGTTTAGGGCATCTGCCATTCTATGAGTCTGCTGTGTATCCTGCTTCTCATGTTGGATCATTCTCTCCCTTTTTTATTTATTTTGTTTTTTTTTTTTTTCAAAAGATTTATTTATTTATTTAAAAGTCAGAGTTATACAGAGAGAGAGAGAGGTCTTCCATCCCCTGTTCACTCCTCGATTGGCTGCAACAGCTGGAGCTGCGCTGGTCCGAAGCCAAGAGCCAGGAGCTTCTTCCGTGTCTCCCATGTGGGTGCAGGGGCCCAAGGACTTGGGCCATCTTCTACTGCTTTCCCAGGCCATAACAGAGTGGGATCAGAAGTGGATCAGCCAGGACTCGAACCAGCGCCCATATAGGATGCCAGCACTGCAGGCAACGGCTTTACCTGCTACGCCACAGTGCTGGCCCCATATGAAGTATCTTTTAATGTGGGAGCTTCATGGAAAAACAATGAATGCCATTGTTACCTCCCTCTTTGCTTTCCTCAGTCTAGAGGACTCCTTGCCATTCTGCTTGTTCTTGCTTCCTGGAGGGTCCTTGGTTACAATTGCCACCAAACAGCCTTCCTGGCACGGGGAGCGTTCAGTGGGAATCGCTGTGAGCCAGGTCCTCCCTCGTTTCCCCCCTCTGTGAGATGCAGACATCAGATAGGCTGTTCTTTATTATAAAATTTATTTATTCCTTCATTTGAAAGGCAGAGAAACAGAGGGAGAGGAAGAGGGAGAAAGAGAGAGAGTCAGTCTTGCATCCACTGGTTCACTCCTCAAATACCTGCAAGAGCTAGGGCTGGGCCAGGCTAAAGTCAGGAGCCAAAAACTCCCTAGTGTCCCATGGCAAGTACGTGGGCCATCATCCACTGCCTCTCAGGCACATTAACAGGAAGCTGCATTGGAAGCAGCGGCAAGATTCTGTATGGGATGTGCGTTTCCCACACAGCTTAACCCATTGTGCCACAATACCCACCCCTAAGCTGTTCTTTAAATCCATTGTTACTCTCTTCTATCTATATGCTTTATAGCTGTGGAGGTGTGTCTGTGTGTGTGTGTGCACATGCGCGTGCATGCTGGTTGGGGGGAGCATTGATTTCTCCTCCTTCCTCTCTTGCTCACTCCCCTGGCCGTTGTCCATCATCACTTTGACATACTCAAATGCCTTTCTTCAATTTTCTTTGGCTTGTGTATATATATATATATATATATATGCTGTTTTTGTTTTGTTCTGCTTTGTTGTTTCCTCCATAATTTCTTTTGAAAATTGCAAATCTACAGAGGAGATGAAAGGATAGTGCAGTACAGTGACCACCCAATATGCCCTTTACCAAGTGTTAGCATTTCATCATCCTTTCTTTTTCTCTCTCCCCTCTCCTCCTCCATTTGAATATAAGTTGTAGATCTTGTGGCATTAGCCTCTGTGTACGTTAGCACAATCTCAAGAAAAGAGGGCTATTCTCTTATGTAACCACAATACAGATCACATTGAAGAAATATAACATTAATAATGTAACTTTACTGAACAACTCACATTCAGAATTTTCCTGTTGTCCAGGATTGCCCTTTGTAATGGTTTCT